CAAATTTCTGGAAACAACATGCTGCTTCGCTGGACAACATATGAGCAATATGGAGACACATTTCATATGATGGGCTTACATGGGCTCGCCATAATTTCTACATTATTCCCGGATTTTGACTTTATGATATGCTTGACCGCTCAGAACTGACCTTTGGGCGAATAGGAACGGATCAGAGATGTTCTTAGGGAATGGGTCGGGGGTTGCTCAATGACATTGCGTTGTACATTCCGCCTTTTAAGAAAAAATGATTAGGAATGGGGAAGCCTGACATAATAGCTTAGTTTCAAGTTTCTCGTGGATATGGGTGGCAAATTTCTACATGTCGGATGACTCCGTGGCTAGTTGATAAGGGGAACGGGAACAACTGGGGATATTTGCCTTGTGAAGATGCGGCCATACCTACGTCTACAGTTAGACATTGATTGATATCCGAATGGTGACGTGGTATGCACTAAGCACCGTAACTAAATTCACTCCGTTATGAGGAGAACGCAAAAATGATATCAATGGGGCAAAGTGTAACGCAACATCATACTGCCGGTTTCACCAGCGATTTCGTTAGGTGTTTGACTGACGAATCGGTTCAGCTTGAGGTCAGGGTGCTTTCGCCACAAATAACTTTCTAAGAAGTTTAATTATAGAATAGGCAAAGCACCGGCGTCGTATTATGAGCAGACACTGTTAAATCAGCATTTGAAGAACAGTAGTACTAGTTTGTCTGACGGAGTAACGAACATGGAAGCGATTGACCAGCGTCAAGAACGTGGACTCGGACATTTCCCTGGTGCACTTGAGTGGTATAACTCCGTCCGATACTGCCTCCAATTAGTATTAACCACATGAAGAACGCAAACATGTTTCATGCATTAGCACGTACTCGCGACAGGGCGATCACACAATTAGAAATCGTTCCAGTTCCTCCATATGGAGTGTTACTGACAAGACTGAATATTAAAGATGATAATATCATACGGGGATGGCAGTGGACTTAGCCTATGGATCAAAACTACACCCGTTCGAACAAGTCGTACATGCTTGAAAGGAGAAACGGAATTTGCCTAAAACACGGCCGCCACGGATACTACAGGCAAAGGTCACCAGACGCCACATTAATACGACACCAGACTCGGCGATCGAACACTTTGGGGATAAATGTATACGTAAATCATCAGGGCTATGCCGGTAGATGTGCAAGACCTACCTAGTTACGTCATATCGAGCAACAGATCACCACCTCGTTGGAGGATGCATCATCAATCACCGAAACGCCAAGCCCGAGTCGTACTCGGCGCCGTCAACTCTGGTCAGTGGGCGTCAACCCAAGACAAGTTTTCCCAATGGCGTACTCGGCTACGTTATTCCAGACCATGAAATCTCGCGTCGACGGGTCAACGGGACATGAATTGCTACGGTTCTCTGGTCGCCACATCGTCTGTTCTCCACAAACACACAACGATGTGTGAACTCCATGAAAATTTGCCGTGGACGCCCACACATCCAGTACACAGTCCTGCACGGCATTTTCGGTAACACGATCTGCGGGTGAGCACAATTTTTTGCCGAACAATGAGAATTCTCGATCGCCATCGGCACTTTGCTTCCGTTCTGATTGCGCAGTAAAGGGGAGGATAGACACCGCTTCACAATCCTTGCTTTCGACAAGTCCAGCGCTATGAGTGGCTCTTAGGATGGCCTCACCGTCAGTCAGAAAGATCGGGTTTCATCTGTCAGCAATATATGCTAATTTGCGAGGTTAGCATGCATTCTGAAGGTGTTTTGCCATTTTCAAAACTGTGAGCGCCACCAAGAGCTGACGTGCCGTGCGTATTGATCCTGGTCCGTCTCCAGTCCTGGATCTGACCTAGACACACAAACGACTTAAATTCGCAATTAATTCCGAGGCTGCCGACTCGTGCCACTGGACCTCCGCATACGTTGTCAAAGGCCTCTCCCCGATTTACGATCGCGATGTAAAAAAACCACCAGGTTTTTTCTGGGTATTTCTTGGTCTCACACGACAGCCATGGACAATTAGGCTGCGTTCCCCCAGAGGTGACGATAATTTTTACCGGCCGCCACGCTTGACCCCAACTTTGCCTCATAGTGCCTATGCCTCAACGCTTCCCTAGAGGATGATGGGTGCACTCTGAAAACGTTTTTTTCGACCCGATCGGTTGTATCGCGTACTTCAGGAACAGCGAATGTATGCGTCGTCGAGACCTACATGCATCTACGCCACTTTGCTGCCAGGATGGTGGGTGCATTACGCAGAGCTACTTATCGAGCTCACCGCTGTCAAAAATTCCTACTAGTATTCTTCAAGAACATTGTTAGCCATGACTGTCTGTTCGTGAAGAATGACGAGTCCTGACCTCCAGAATTTACATGCTCTTCTTTTATCTCGTTGATATACTGACGATACCACCAGGCCGCTGAGGATATAAATGGCCGTACAGTCACGAATATTAACGCGCACCATTGACGATGGGAATTGATGAAGCAATTCACTTGGAGAGACATTATCCGCTTGAAGACCATCGTGGAATTACTTAGGGTGAACCCGGTCTCGTTTGTCAATAGCACTGTCTTCGATCTCAACTGCTATCGGGAATCTCTAGATTGTCAGCAAGCGATAAATGGTTTCCTTCTACATTCTCTTACATCGCGACTGGATATTTTGATGCGAACCCCTGTTCATTGTCGAAACAAAATTCAGAATGTACGGGACAAGATCGCTCACCATTAGAGCTTGTCCAAACCCAAAATAACACGAGCATCACCATCACCACCTGCACGGCGAAGGCATACAGCAACCGCGAAGGCAACTCCAGCTGAAAACATGTTGAATGAAAAATTGTGCGATGCAAGCATTTACGAGTAACGGGGTTTTTCACCCTTGCTATTGGAAGTGTTTTGGTTTGCCCGAGTTTCCGATCTGGAAAACATCACCAAGTGTAATGGAGTGTTACTGGACGGAGAGAGACTGTTTTGGGAACGTCAGATTACGATTTTTAGTCTGCGCCTGATCCCCACCAGATCGCTGTCATTGACTACCCCAGATATTAGGGAAGGTGTGTTTCACTACCCTTTCATTCGTAAATGAAATTCACCTGCGACGGTTGGAACATGCAGAGAACGAGTTACTGGTAAAGGTGAGGTAGAGCGTTCGCGGTGCAGGTATAAAAAGATCGTAGATTTATGGGGATATTTCGAATCATTCCATCCTGCGCAACGCCGGAAGAAACAGCAACTTGGGGAGCCCCAGGATTTTCCTCGGAGAAACACCTTGGGCAGCTGCATAGGTATAGTATTATTTTTCATCGTCCAGAGTGGCGTACACGTAACCATTGCGCACTTCGCGAATAGGAACTTGGCTGCTAGGTGTCGGCATTGATGGATAGTACCCGCAGACGCGACGTTTCGGAAAATTGTCCCCAACAGGTCGTTTGGCAGGGATGGAGTGACGATGGAGAGAACGTGAGGCGTTACGTCACCCGTCACACGACTTCGGTGGCCACGCCATCATCGTTTGGAATACGTTCGTGCATCGTCTGTCTTTGAAAGGTCTGTCTTCGTCGTTATACACCAGAATCACCACTAACAACGTTCTCAGGAGCTACTAACCATGGACCCACCACCCACCCCATCCGAGTCATCCACACCTCAAGACCCATCCTCTCCATCCTCCTCCTCTCCTCCACCACCACCGTCACCTCACCCGCGCCCAACCCAACCGCAACCAGACGCAACCCCCCTCTTCCCCCTCTCCATAATCCGCGCCCGCGCACCCCCCAAGACCGACGAACGCTGCTTCACCTACTGCTCGCAAACCTCCTCGCGGCGCATGAACGGCGAGGACTCCTTCTGCCGCTCGTTCTGCCTCCGCCGCGTCTTCCCGCACGAGATCGCGCGGCTCGAGAGGGATACGCGCGAGTATGGTGAGACGCACCCTCTGCCTGCGCCGGGCCAGCCGAGGGAGGCGTTGGTAAACGATGGGCAGGTGGTCGGGGATGGGAGGGATGTGAGGTATTGGAAAGCGGGGTGGTATGTCTGGTACCACACCTCGCGCTGGACGGCGCTGGATCATCTGGACGGGATGATGCTCGGCATCATGCGGCAGACGTGGAAGATGCGGCAGCGCGAGGGGTGGTACCGGATGTGGGTCGAGCACCAGAGGGCAGTGAGGGAGGGGAGGGAGACGCCTGATGAGAGGGATCGGTATTTGTTGATGGAGGGCGAGTGGGTTGATCCTAGGGGGAGGATCTACCCCGACCTTTCGTACGCTCTCCCACTCTCATCTTTAAATCCCCTAACCACCCTTCAATAAACAAACAGGAAAGAGGCCATCCTCATCCCCCTTCCCCCTTCCCTCCCGCCCCTAACCCTCTACATCGCCAACCTCCTCTCTCCCGCCACCCGTCTCTACTCCTTGACGGCCGAAAGCGTGACGAACGGCTCGCAGATAGCATTCGCGGGGAGGCTGTGGGAGAAGGCGCGGAGCGTCGAGCCGTGGCGCCTTGCAAGGAACGCTGTGCGGAAGGTGTTGGATGAGGTTTGGGATGGTGGGGAGGGCGGTGGCGGCGGGGATGGGGATGGGGACGATTCGTCGTAACTTATGTGGTGGAGGTTGCATTCACTTTGCTCATTATAGACTTATGCTTTTGCTGGTGTGGCCCCATTCACCGACATCATGGTATATTGCTATTGCTTTCAACACCTTGCAGCTGGTCATTGGATGTACCATGTTGTGCGTAGAGGAGAACACCATTCACGTCCGCCGGCACAACTACAGTACATATTCATAAATGAAACGAGACACAGCGAATCCCGCAGACCAATGCCACTCGTTACCCACAAGTCTATTTCGAAAACGCGTCGTTGAGCATACAGAACGCCAGGGTACTCTCCTGAACGCTATATGCGAACAAATTCCGGCGCCTCGCATCATCCGATCATCTTCCACGTCTTGAGTACACTAAGAAGGGTGTGATGTGGAGGGCGAGATGGCCGAGCGGTCTAAGGCGCTGGAATCAGGTGGCTACGTAAAAAAACACAAACACCCATCCAGTCCGAAAGGGCGGGGGTTCGAATCCCCCTCTCGTCATGGCAGTCTTTGAAAATCGACCTTTTTTATCAGTGATCGCCGGTATTTAAGTTCACATGCAATATTTTATTTGTCGGCGAAGAATACAATATCGAGTATTCCAAAATACGTCATATCACTCATCCCCTAAATCAGCTAACAACCCGTACATTCCCCCTCTCACCGCCATGTTCATATTCCCATTCCCACTCTTCACACCACCAATCAAGTTGGCCCGCTTCCGCGCCTTCTTCCCCTTCCTCCCCCCCGGCACCGCATCAGGCGCGAAGAAAGCCTCGAGGCCATCAATCGTCGCGCTGATCACATCATCCAACCCGTCCCTACTCTCTCCGGCCGTACTCTCCGTGCCCGTGGAGTAGTCACCAAAATCGGATTCCGACGCAGCCGACACGGAGACGGACGCAGAATCCGACGCGTCATCAACACCATCGAGCCCGGGGAAGGACCGAGAGGGGTGCGTGGTTTGAGCGGAGAGCAACGTGTGGAACCTCATCCCAGAAAAACGCGAAACGCAGAGTGGTAAGTTGTCCGAGACGCGTAACGCGCTGGCGAGTGAGGATACGGCGTCCAGTGCGGAGAGGAGGTGCGCCGTTCGTTGGATCGCGCGTGGTTCTATGGGTATCATTTTCTCATTCTCATTCCCGTTCCCATTCCCATTCCCATTCCCCACCCCTGGAGGCGAGGCGAACGCCATCACACCCGCGACAGCCTCGCTCCTCGTCCACCGCTCCATCGTCCCCCCATTACCATTACCATCGCCCGCCGACTCCGCCGCGGCGCGCACGGCAGCGCGCACAGCGAGCACGGGGCGGAGCCACTCTGGGTTAAGGGAGGTGATGGGCGGGGTGTTGGAGTGTTGGAGTGCGAGGAGGGCTGTGAGGCGCGTTGGTGTGGGGTGGAGGATTATGGGGATTGGCTTCGGTGTTGGTGTTGAAGAAATGTCGGGTGAAGATTGGGAGGAGGGCGTGAACCCAACCTCGTCGAAGAGGTCGTAGAGCGATGGGACGACGACCTCTTCGGGGACGATACGCGAGCCTTTGCGGATGTATTCTGTGATGACCGCGGGGAGTCTTTTCGTCTTCTTTTTTTCCTCGGTCGGTTCTTGGTCCTGATCTTGCACGATCTCCTGGACATCGTTTGGAGGGTCGTCGTCTGCGGAGGAGGAGGAGGAGGAGGGGTCGGGATTCAGCCTCCGCAACGCACCCCTCAACACCTCGACGTCGACGTCCTCCTCATCTGAATGTTCCTCCACAACATCAATAACCTCATCCTCATCCTCATC